CAATAGCAGGCCAGCTGCCACAAAATGGCCGAAAATGACAAAATGGCACTGAGTATTTCACCTTTTCTGAAGGCAAAACAAAAAGTTCTTGCACTGTAGATAAAAATGAAGCTAAAGAACTGATTAATGCAATAAAAAAAGAATAAGGTCGATATCTATCTTCTCTAAAAATCCGCTGTGAAAAATGTTAATGTCCCCCGGTGGTGAAAATGTGGTATGTCCAACAGTGGTGTAAGCTCTATAGAGGCAGAGAAAAACAAGATCAAGATTCCTCTATCAGAGAGAGGATGGAAACTTGACATTCCTGAAGGCATGTAGAATATGACTATTTTAGTGAACAAATACGGAATTCTATGTAACAGTTTATGCTCTGCACGACAAGATTCTTGAAATTTTTTCGGCTATTATGTCTGTATAAACTGGGCGGACCTAAATGGAAGTACCCTACGGATAGAATTTCAATTAATTCATTGCTAATGTGGACTAAAAATGTATTTCCTTAGTAACAAAGCAAAAAAAAATAAAGAAGCAATCCATATCTTTCTTTTTTTCCACTCATATGATGATGCGAATGAAGATAAGAAAAAGTTTTATCTGTTAACCAGAAAAACTAGATAGCTTTGCAATATGATCAGGGGTTCTTTTCTGTTTCTACTCGGGTTTCTCAAAATCTGACTCTATTTTATCTACGAAAAATGTTAATTTGGTTTTCCATAGTCAGCTTTGTACACCGAATCAGAAAAAAATTAGGTACAAAATCATAGAGCAAGAATAAATCTGAAAATTTTGCTTATTTCTTAGAATTCCATGTTTTTCTGCTTCTTTTTAAAAATCAATATTTTGAAAATTTTTCACCCAAAAACGACTTCAGAAAGTCTAAAATACACTTTTTTCAATGTAAATCGATGAGCATTATTAGCACCTTACCTTTCTCTCAGGTATATACAAAGACTTTAAATAGTTCCTGGCGGAAAATAAAGCGTTCTGTTTCAGACTGAATTCAATGTCTATTTGTGTAAATAATATAGCATTGAATCAAAAAACGTTAGATATATAACAAAATCTCATTCACACAATCTTTTATCAGGTGTAACATTAAAAAGACATTAGCTGACACAGCGCTGAAAAGTTTTCAAGTAAAACTGAACAAACTACCTTATCTCTTTCCTTATAGCAAAATCAGTTTCGACTCATTGTACAACTATGCTGTGTTATTGGGATACAAAGCTTAGGTTTCAAAAAACAATCTCAAATATTTATTTCTTACTAATTTAGTTTGTGGGATGGTGTTGGTGATGTCGTTGTTTTCTATGCTACTCTGATTCATGATCAAATAATCAATAAAAAGGTAATAAAGATAATAGAATACTTTTTAAATTTCGTAAGATGGTAAAAGATTTATATTGTTTCGTTCTTTTTTCATTTTCTACATCACTTTTCAAATTCTAGATCGACCTAATTTAAGAAATTTTAATTCTTTTTTTCTTTTTGTGTTTTGTTCATAGTGTTGCAGTAACACTAATAACATTCTAGCATCTGAGTGGAACGGACGTGCACCACTTTTTTCTTAAAAAAAGAATGTTCCTAGTGTCGGTAGTATTTAAAAGTTTACTTGTTCTTCATTTTCTTCACCATCTATTAATAACAAAAAAATTTTTTTCACAAAAAAAATATATTATTTCTAGCGTTGTTCTCAGTATCTTCTATATTTTCACTTTTCTTTAAGATCATCCTTTTACATGCCTCATGCTACTTCTTTGTTGATTACACATAATAAGCGTCAACGAAACAAAAGAGAAATGAGGATGGCAAATTATAATGAACACAGAAAAAAGTTTGACACTAAGAATTTTCACAATTTCACATATTTTTTTCTCTTCTACATGATAATTTACTCATATTCATCTTTTCTATGATTTCCGGAAAGAATATTTGTTCTCGCGCGTGTATCAATATTTGAATTTCTATTGGTTAAATCGTAATAAGAGGAGAAAAATTTTTAAAATTTTATTTACATCGGAAAAAATCTAATATTAGTCAACCTATGCGTTTTTTCTAATCAAAAAAATTCTAATAATTGCTACTTGATAATCGAATTTGTTAAGTCAATAGTGAAATTTGAAGAGAATAATAAACTAAAACTCATTTAGATATAATCCAAATAGTTGAAAAAATGAGATATAGAAAAAATTGAAAAGAATTTTAATTTTATTTTCTCAACACTTCTATCATATCTCACAGAATAATCAAACTATTTACCAAGACTTTAACAAATCTTTTAAAACATTAAATTTTTGCGATACACAGAATATCAAATTAAGAAATGCAATACTTCGTATATACTGATGCACTATCAAGTGTGAATGATATCTTTGTGTCTTTCACTAAAATTTATCATGATTTACAATGTAGTGTATTCTCATTCATTCATAATTATTTCAAAATATCATCAATAATCTGTTTTTGCTTTCACTAATTTACGCTTAACTTTTGAAATTGTATGAACTTATCATGATTTAATTAAAACTTAAACTGTATAAGTTTGATCTTTAACAGTGCTATGACTGAACTTCTTTTGAAGATTATCTTCTTTTTATAATTGTACAGTATAGTACAGTACAGTAACTAACTATTCTTCTTGCCGTTTGCGTCAGATAAATTGTCGAATAATTCGAGATGTGGTTGACACAACTTCTACTTTCTACCTTTATCTTAGTATACTCCTAGTTTTGAGTTGAAATTATTAAACCAAGATATAATATTATAATCGCGTATGACTATAGTTCACCATCAAAAACGATGTGAGTAGATCATAAGTTTGTGTCAACTTACTTATTTGGGTAAAAATATGACAGAAAGATGCAAGAACAAGAGAACAGAGACAGAATTGAAAAAAGGAGACTAATACCACAAAATATGTATCTCTTGCTTTTCTTTTGGGAGTAATCCAATAATGAGGATGGTGGCAGCGGTGCAACTCAAGTAACGGTTTTTTTATTAGCATAAAAAATGATTCAAAGCAATACAAAAAAAAAAGTCAGAAAGAACATTAGTTTCTCTTTCCTTACTCTTTTTTTCTCCATATATGTCACGCATTTATTTTGTATACCTTCAAAATACAAAAAAAAAAGAATTATTTTTTATTCCTCTCAACCTATATACATCAATTGTATATATGTATGAGATTTACACATCATATATAGAAGTGTATGAGTCGTTATTGACAACGTATGTAGACATAAAAATACAACTTTAGTATCATATAATATAGGACGTTCACAATCCAAAACATACATTATATTTATGTTCTGCTCTCTATAGTTAGAACGATATATTTTTTTTTTACGTTATGTACTTCTTCCGTTTCTCACTTCATGATAGTAAAAAGTTTCTTATTTTTTTATAGTATATATTCTTTTCTTCTATTCGTTTGGGTATCCCGTGAACCGAATTTTTATACACACCGTATATTTTATTAGATATAAAATAATAAAATTTTATATAAACAACAAAAAATCGGAAAAAAAAGAGAACAAGCTTTAGTTTTTGACGATATTGCTACTTTTTTTTGTGGTTCCTTACTCGATAGAGTGATGTATATAGGAATTGATAGTTTAGATTAAAGTTTATTAATTAAAGGCAGTTTAAATTTTAGAACTAAAGAAAAAAATTGATATTTTTGGAAATCATATTTGAACACATATGCATATTGTTTTTCTTCAAATAATCGAGAGAGTCCCTAGGGATTTCTCGAAAACGAATAAATGCTTAATTCGACTCCTGTACTCGATTTTAAGTGTAATTTAGCTTGTTTCTCATCGCTTTTTTATCAAATTGAAATTTATTTTATATAAGCGAAACTAGCACTTTCTTTCCCAAATTCTTTCTCACCTAGTAGACGGGGTCCTCGGCTGAAAGTTTAACCCCCTTTCTCTTCCTTCACCTTCATTTCATTTTTTTGTTTTTTGTTTCTTATGGAAGAGGGTAACACCTTGTAAAATAATTCCTCGAACTATGTAATGGCAATTTTATTAGAATTTCTTCATCTTTAAAGTAAATATAGTTTAAACCAATCCCCATCGAAACGACGAGTTAACACCGATGAGCCTTAGACGGAAGCAGCTACACTTATCTAAAACAGAAAAAAATTAATCTAAAGAAAAAGAGATGTTCCTGTTTATGTACTTCTGCAGACGCAAAACAAACCGGTGAATATGTTGTACATTCTCCCTAAGAAATTCCTAGAGAGTCACCAGAGACTTCATTATTTCTCTTCACTCTCTAAAAATCAGGGAGTTACCAGAGATTTTACAGGGAATTCATAAGAACTCCACGGGGATTTCAAGTTATTTCGAGAACTCACTAGGGATTTCACGTTGTTTCGGAGACTTCATCAGGAAAAGTGGACTAGGCATTATGACCTACTGCATAGTGCAGAAACGCCTATGAAGTTGACCCTGAATACGGACTTGGAAATTGTCGGACTTGCCCAGCTCTGAATCAGAGAGAGTCTATGTTTCTATAAATTTTGTTTAGATAATTCAATGAAGGCAAACTATTCAGTCTAAGTCTAAACTATTAGAAAAGCTAAAAAATCAGTGAATCCGATTGTGCACTGAATCAAGACTTTTACTGCCGTTTATTGTGCGCCATCTATAGCTACCTTTATAGAGCGTATCTAATCGCGTCCAATACTGTCACATTCAGAAAAGTTATTGCTATTGTTCAATGAAGTGATGATATGGACACTCTTTCCCTTATCTGATATTTTAGATTATGGACCAGCTACAATTAACTTCTTGATATTTATTTCGAATGAATGATGTATACAACGTTAAGAACATTTTATCTATATTTGCTAAGTCAAGCACGGAATCATACACATAAGAAATTATAAAACTCTTTCTTCGGTACATTGTAATTCAACCACTATGTCATTTTAGATGTCAATATAATATTGCACCTTGTCTTAATAGTTATTCGACTTTCTCAATTTATAAATGGTATCTTCCATTTATCGATGCATCACTTGTGGTACCGAAAATCAGGAATTATTCCATATATATAAAGAAAATGTTATTAAAGTTATTCATTGTGTAAGTAATTAAACAATTTTATGATTTTTCCGAAGAAGAAGTAAAAAGACCTATTTGTAGCTTATGAGCTATGAAAATTGAACTACATATTTTTCCTTTCGATACAATTATGACATCAGTAAATGTTGCTTTTTCTCTCTTTCGTACTTTTAGAAGCAATGCAAACAACCAGTTGACAAATATATTGAGTTAGATGATTTACTGGTGTTTATTGATTTTTTATTACTGAAAATTCAAGCACATCGACATGTTTTATTTAATATTGAAAGTATAAGTCGTAATGTGTGTATGTAAAAATTGATCAATCTGATTCTACTGTTGTCAATTAATATATAACTTTTTCAGCATATTGTAAAATTGGCATGTGCCCTAATATTATCAAATGCTTACATCAAATGGTTTCATCTGAAGAATGAACAATTTCAGTCAATTTTAAACCATGATCATCACATATTTTATGCACTCGAGTGGGGTTTTTATTTCAAGTTAGTTGAATCACTTATGGGTGTGTTGCCAAAGATAATATTTATTTCGGACTCATTTTGACTGATATTTTCATTTTTAGAATATGGAATCCGTTTTATTCTTTTGTTTATCATAATATTTATAAACTGGAAGAAATTGAATAAAAACCGGTAATTAAAGTTAAAATAAAAAATAATTCATATACCACCTTGGACAATATTCATTAAATTTTTAGATTTATACTATTTCTTCGTGCATTTATATTAGCAAGTATTGGTCAACTGTTTGTTTTACCATTATTAATTTGGAATCCATCACATAAAGAGTACTATGGAGGATTAAGTATTGTCTACGTCGCCTTATGCAGTACACAAGCATTAAATGGTAAGAAGAAGAATCATTTACGTTAGTCTATACTTGTCTTAAATTCTTTTTTAGCTAGTGAATTAGCATCACCATTTCTCTCATTGATTGCATCAACTGTATCCATTTTAATGTCAAAATGGTTCGTGTCAATCTGGAAGATTTCCTAACAAACGGTGTCACACAAACATTCACTGACATATGGTCATTTTGCAAGATTATACGTCCTTTTTGTGTATTCATCTTTTGTAATTTTCAATTTTATTAATAAATCTCAACATAATTTCTCTGTTTTAAATGAAGCAATCTGTTTTATTTGAAGTGAGTTAATCAATCCGTAACCCAAATAGAAAATGTTTAATATTTTAACTAATTTCAAGACTAATCGGGAAGATAAAGAAAACAAGAACGGTTACGAGTATAGGATGCTTCTCAGGTTTGAGTAGCCCAATCTCTTATCAACAGCTGACAACCTGCAAAGATGTCTCTTTACTAATCATCAATCGTAGTTCGAAATAGAAAGTTCATTTGACGCAGTACTTTCACATATTTGCTTGAGTTCACTCTACACACTTACTAAACATATATTCGGATGGATGATTCAAGGCTCGTCCAGATAATTAGTGGCGGCGCCAGGATTTTGCTCTGGGGTGGGCTTAGCCCACCCATTTTGGGAACAGCAGAAAAAACATTCAGCTCATTTCGAATACATTGAAAAATTTTCAGGGTGGGCTTAACTTCCTTTCGGGTGGGCTCAGGCCACCCTAGCCCACCCCTGGCGCCGCCACTAATAATGAGTTTGTTCAAGATTCTTACATGACTAGATGGCGTTTAGATTCGAACACTGTATTTTTGAAGGAACCGATGACCAGCATAGTCATTAAGATATTCTAACAATTGCATAAAGTGATACGTGAAAGGTAGACAGGATCCAACTTCAGTGTCTTAGAAATACTTTTTAATTAGAACGATCCAATAATGATGATAAATTACTTTTTAACTCGAGTAATTGAATATATTACATTGATGCTTAGTGGACATGCTTAAATCATAGCATCAGCTTTATATTATGAACAAGAACATGGAAATGTGGCACAAAAAGAAATCAAAGACTCGAATAAGATTTATCTAGAGATAAAAACCCAATAAGAACTATTTACTATTTCAGGTATTTAGTATCTTCCTGCTTTAAAATAATTGTGCTGATAATTGTGCACCAAAAAAAAATTCTTCGATTTCTTCTCGTTCGCTTTGATCTTTACTGTACTATATTATGAATGTTTTCCGAGCTAAAATATAATTACTAATGCGCACTTGATTTCAATTAGGGAATACTCAATTGTATATCATTATCTTTCTCTGAACTGCAAGAACAACAATATAAAGAGCGATATTCATGTGGAATTATTGATTTTTCTTTTTTATGTTTTCTCGACGTATTTACATTTTAAAATCCTTGTCAAACAAAGACACACGCACACACAAAGTTTATAGAATAATCAATGATAGTGGTGTAGCAAATAAACAAAAAGAAAAAAAATGAAGAAACATTAACAACAATTAACAAGGCAGGGTAACAATAAGAAAAAGAAACAAATGACGGTTGTTAAGTTTTTCGTAGGTGAAACAAAATAAAACAAATTTCATGACAAAAAATAACAAAAAAAATTATATTTTTTTGTTCTCACTTATTTTTGAATTTGTTCGTAAATTACACATTAGAAAGAGAAGAGACAAAAACAAGACTTTCTTGGAACTAAGGAACACAGAAGAAAGGTTTCATGTTCAAGAAGGGATGAGAAAGAAATTTTTAGAAGAAACGCGCGAAAAAACATTTGCTAGTATTATTTCGCGCATCACAACTCGTTTTAACTTTGTAGCACCAACATATATTCAATCCAGATCTGCTATTATTATTTCTCTTTTTTATCTGTAAAAGCAAGAAATACCGCTACGTCCTATTTCTATCACCTATGTGTTGTTGTTGATGATGATGATCAGTTTCATCAATATTTATATCGGTCACTGAACATGGTGTAGTCAACTCTTTTTGTTGTTCAGATAGTGTCAATGAATTAATAGTCCTGTTATTTATATTCGGTGAACATATCCTTTTACACGATATTTCATCTTGATCCTTACTATTAACGTTAGGTAATAACGACGACGTTATACAGGAGGACGTTGAATTTAATGCATTATTTGCTGAAGTATTTCCGCCAACGGCAATTATTGATGATGAAGAGGAAACTGAAGTTGTGGGCGTGAGGAAATCCGTATAATCATCATTTTCTTGATTGCAATCATCATTAGTCTCTTCAGGTAGTACATGACTAAGATCATGTGAAATATGATCTTGAGACAAAGATAATAATGAATTTGGAGATTGATTATTGTGTCGTTTAGCTAAATCGGCTAATAAAACACGATCAGTACATGGTGATACTGTCGATAATGACGCACGACGTGTAATATTATTAAACGCATTTATTGATGGTTCAAAATGACGATCCTATAAGCAAAGAATGAAATCTGATGTTTACTATAAGAATGATCGTCAATTCAAAACGGGTAAATATGAGTACTTATGATTTAGGTAAAAAGTGGTTATCTATTCTTGTTTTACCCTCCCTACTAGAATTTGCCAGCAGGTATGAATTAAAGAAACTTGGACATGACAAGTTCAATATAGCCCTACATTTATTCGACCAAAACATCTTTTTCTAATTCTCAAAACCATATCTGAAAACAGGTTTGAGGTAATATCGAAAACTTGTAGCTAATGTCAAAAATATGAATAAATCATATTTATTATAATCCAAGCTTCTTTTGAGGTAGGAATGCACAATTCTTCGATAAAAAATACATGGTAAATTAACATCTTGAGAAATTTGCTAAGTGCATAGGATTTCTTTATAAATGGATACTATTTAATAATAAATCGCGGTGTTATCAGGGTTAAAGTACTACACTAGAATTTCGGGTTGTCTCTACTCATTTAAACAGATCTGTGAAAGAAATCAGGTTATGTTAAAGAAAATTAATGAAGATATAAGAAAAAAACCGAACACATATGCATTGATAGTAAATTGAGTGTGACTGCGTTCGTTTGTATATGTGTATCAGAGGTGAGATTGGATCCTATTTCTTCCAAGCCGAACTGATCTAAAGTTGGAAATTTTTTTAAAGCAAACATGGATAAAAAACTTTTACAGCTGTACAAGAATCTATTTTCTTTCAGATAACATTTTTTCATTCTGAAATAGATTTATTTTTGATCAGCAATAACATAATTATAATATGAACGCACAGAAAAAAATCTGTGTCTGTACGTCATGAAAAAATTTCTCATTCTTTTAATTGGTTAAAAAATTCATTCTAATAGAACTGATCTCACCTCTGGTGTATATCGAGTTAATCAAAATATATAAAAAACAGAAAGAAAAAAAACAACATATGTGTATAGATGCAAAGCAAGCTTTTGTTTAATGGAGTAAAAATGGCTACGAAACGTGCGTAACACAATTCCACATTGTTATAACGAAAGCACACTTCAAATACAAAATCTGGAACAGAAATATATGGGACAGTGTATGCTGCAAATAATTTTCTCAATAACGATGTTTGTTATTAGTTTTTGGAGACGACTACGTTTTAGACTCAATAATTTTGAATGACTGATGCCGAACGCTAAGAGATGAAATCACCTGGAGTTTCTCTTATTAATAGATCGTGCAGGGTGATCAAATTTTGTATTGATGTTATCAACAGAAAAAACAGAACGCGCAAAGAAAAATCAGCCAAACAGTCATGACAAAATGGATTTCCTACCATTTTCTTTGTACCATTAGTTTCTTCATTCTCAATAGTTTGCTATAACAAGCACACATATACATGATTTAAAGAAAAATCTAACAAATATTTTAAATATTCTTTCATTAAAAAAAAAGAAATATGGTGTAATACTTTCGAAACTCACATTTGTATTTGTATGAATGGTTTTTTGTACCATATATGTACGTAATTCTTGACTTTGTCTGCTAACTAAATCTAATAATTCTAAACGATGTCTATAAAAAGAGAAAAAGAAATGCATGAAAAAAATTTTTTTTTTTTTCTTTTAGACAAACCTCGTCAACAATTGTTCGAACGCTTCATCGTGATCAGGCCATTCAGACATATGAGAATTGATCGATACGGCAGCTGCAGCAAATGGCACCTCGCATAAATTCTGTAATTAAACAAATACTAGGTAATTTGTAATAATCAACTAATATCTCAAGTATCCATACTCGTGTTGTTAAACATGACAATTGATCCAGTTGTATATTGTTGATTGTCAACGTTCGTTCGTCGACCTAAACGACAGTACAAAATAGTTTTTAATAATGGCAACTATTGCAATTTTACTTGATGCTCGTGTTTTTGTTGCTTGTCTTTCTGCGTTGTAGTTGTTTTTCCAGTCATAATTAAATCGTTTATCATAACTGGTTTTGCTTCCTTAATAACCTCGTTGATGTGTTGTTCATCTTCGGAATTCTTTGTTACTGTTGGCAATTCCTCTTTATTCACTGGGATTTCATTCCGTTGCTCTTTTTCTACTGTAAAACGTCCAAGTTTTGATTTTGTTTTGGAAATGTTTTGATCATCTGGCATTATTAAAATGTTACTCTTTTGTTCATTGACTGGAGTATGTTGTTGTTCTGATTGCTCTGGTTGTTCTAACGACTTCGAAGTTGTTTCATCGTTGTTTTGTTGAACAGGCGCTGCCGACTGATTTGGAGGTTGTTGTGTTTGTTCACTGTCACTTCCTTGTGCAGTAGCTTTCTTTGAAAACGTTCTTGTTAACAATGCTTGCAATTCTTCGAGACTAGCAGCCACTTGATGTTGTGTTTGAGGGGTAGGTGCTGTACTCGATGACTGACCATCAGTCGCCACTAGTAATGGGATGTTGGCTGATGATAGCGGTAGCGATGTACATACCAGTGGAAGTTCAGTACCCGTTGAATCCGTTGTTACTATTGACGTAACAGTAGATGGTTGAGTTGTATACGCTAGTGTTACTGATGTTGGTACACTAGCAGGCAATGGCATGGTATTTGTGCTGATTACTTGAGCAGAAGTTGTATGTAACGGCACTGGAACAAGCATTTGTTCTGTTTGAATCAAAGGAAAATTTTTAGGATGACCGAGGCTCATCGTAGTTCGAATTGCTATCAAACACATAAAAAATACTTCAGATTGAGCATGGGTTACACTCAGATGTAGAAATGATCTTCACTTTGCGATTCTTTTTTATATTGTAGCAATGACTAGATAAAACAGCATTCGACCCTCTCACTAACACGTAATCTCCTTATTTCGTCTAAAGTTAAACAAAAAAGAATCTAAAAAAGCTTTGTAATGCGAAGCACTCAACCAATTACTGGTCATTACCTATTGCAAACATATGCTCTTTCTCAAAGTTGCCGCTAGCATTTAGCAGCATACTTTTTGTGATAGTTTTCTTTAATCAAGTACAACACTTACTTGAACCCGGTTTATGTTGAGAACATTCTGGTTCACTTAAGTTTCGTTGAAAAGGTATAGTAGCTACTAATGGTTGCTGTTGTTGAGAAACTTCATTCAAATTTAAAACATGTTTGATTGTTGTGCTATTTTGTGTATTATCATCTTGCTTTACCGCTGTTATGACTGTATCCGTCTTCTGATCGTTCACATTATTTTGCTGTTGTTCTGATTGCTCTGGTTGTTCTAACGACTTCGAAGTTATTTCATCGTTGTTTTGTTGAACAGGTGCTACCGACTGATTTGGAGGTTGTTGTGTTTGTTCACTATCACTTCCTTGTGCAGCAGTTTTCTTTGAAAACGTTTTTGTTAACAATGCTTGCAATTCTTCGAGACTAGCAGCCACTTGATGTTGTGTTTGAGTGGTAGGTGCTGTACTCGATTGTGGCTGCGGTACAATGTCGACCGTAACCGGAAGTGAGGCGTTGGTAGTTGACACTGGTTGCGATATGCTCACTAATTGTGAGTCCATACCTGTCGAATTTGTTGTTATCGTACTTGCGTTCGATTGATTCGTATTTGATGATGTGGCCATTGCTGGTGTAGTGACAGGCAATGGCATCGCTGTTGTGGTAGTCACTTGTGCAGAATTCGTATGTAATGGCATTGGAACAGACGTTATACCAAAATGAGGAGTAGGTTGTTTATGTTGAATCACCGTGTTTTTATGATGATGAGGATGGTGATGCTGATGGTTGGCATTCATAACTGCCTGTATAGCTATCATAAAAAAAATGTAAGTTTAAGCTTAAATAGTTGACGCTTTCTTAGTCTAAAACATACCAGCATTGCGTATGTTGGTTTCCTGTTGTACATTTTCTATTTCAATTAGACTTGGTGGCCGCCCCAGTGGTGGCAAAACAGAAGCAGATTGCTGTTGAGGATCATTCGCATGTAAAGCATGACGTTGCATGCTATCATGGTACATCATATACTGAATAATTTGCGCGCGCTGCTGCTGCTGCTGTTGTTGTTGTTGTTGCTGTTGTTGTTGTTGATCAATTGTTTGTCCACTCGTACAAACCATAGTTGAAACTGTCGAAGTGCCCGCTGGTGGTGTCGTCGGCTGAAGTTTTTCTTCGTGTTGAAGAACCTGCGGTGTGGGTTGAGTAGCTGTTGCAACTGGCGTTTGATTCGTTTGAAGAACGTTGATCTTTCCTTTTTCTGTTTCTTTAGTAAATATACCACGTTGATGATCTAATTGTTCATAATTATATGCTCTTAGACGATCTTTAATGGATTGTATAACAAATTTTTTATCTTCTTCAAATATATATTTTTTTGCCATTAATTCATTTGCTATTTGTTCAGCCGTATCTGTTTTTAAATTGAACGGAAATCGAAGAGCTTCATGTTCGGTCCACAATGCTTTACGCTTCGATTTATCAATTACTTTTAATTTTAAATCGATACTATCATTTTTAACAATTATATTTGAATCTTCCCGAACAAAATCGACTCGTAAACCATTATCCTCCATGAAGAAACTATGTTGTAATAATTCATTAACTGGTAACCGTTCTTCTTTACATTTTCTTATACAACAATCAATCACTTCCCGAAGATCTTCGTTTTCGACTTTATAATAACAATCCGGTCTCAATCCAGCTGTGACACGTTTAATAACAGCTGTGGGAAACTTACACTCAATATATGGATATTCATCTGTTATCATTTCCAACATACATAAACCAAACGAATAAATATCAACTAATTCATCATATTTTTCATCAAACATTTCTGGTGCCATAAATTCCATTGTTCCTAAAAAGAATGGTAACATATTATAGGAAAAAAAGTTGAAATGAATATATAAAGATTACCTCTCATGCTTTTAGCAAATGTCTGAGTTTTAAATGTTGCCAAGCCAAGATCGCCAATTTTTACCGAACCCGTATTGCCTGTTATAAACACATTATCACATTTTAAATCACGATGAATTACAGGTGGATTACGACTGTGTAAATAAGCTAGACCTTTCAGAATTTGTCGACACCATTTTTTCATTACATTAATACGTTTTTGTTCTTGTTGGCCTCTGAACTGTTTTATATATCTATTAACAAAAAGAAACAATACTAAAAAAGCCGATATCAATAGAAATCCACATTACCCTTTCAATGAACCAGACGTCATTAATTCTGTAACAAGTATGATAACTTTTTTATTTGTTCGTGAATTTGTTTCTTCCCAAAAATCAAAGAACCGTACAATATTCGAATGTTGTAACTTTTTTAACATTTCAGCTTCTTCTTTGAAACGAGCACGTTCATGTCTATCAAATTGAGCAAAATCCTGAAATGTAACAATAAGGTATGAGATGGTAGAAATAGAGCGGAAACATTACCTGTAATTCACACCAGGCAACGGGAATTCCTGCCTCAGTGTCTAAACCACGATAAACCGTCTTGAATGCACCACGACCAATTACTTTTACAAATTTAACAAAACGATTATCCGGACTTTTCGCCACTGCTAGTTCATCTTCATCATCTAAACGACGTTCATCTTCAGCAGATTCATGATTGTTGATCGTTTGTGACGTGACGATGAGTGGTACTAATTCGGGGTTATTTAGTGCCGTAACCGCAGCATCAACAATCTCTGATGTTGTAGGACTATTTGTATCGACGACGTTATCGTAATCGGTTGTCGGTGTATTCATATGTTCACGATCTGTTGCTATTAAAGCACTACTATCTTCTTCATTCGATGATTTTGCTGTTTGAGCTAATAATAAATGTTGTTGCGATTTTCGAATCGATTTTATTTCAAAACGTTTAGGTTTTTTTGTACCATTAGTCAAGCTATTTGTTTTATTTACAGTTTGTATTAATGATGAACCACCGATGATTTCTTCTTTCTTCAATGTTGACGGTTCATCTGAATGACTGCTGTTATTATTACATTGTTTTGCTAGTACATTTGGACTCGTGTCTTCGTTTATTAGATGACCATAATAATGATTATAATGTCGGTATCCATAGTCGTCGTCCGTTGTCGTAGTCGCTGTTGTCAGTTGTAAATTTTTCCTGTTTAAATATTTTCTTCTTGATAAAACATCATTCTCATTGGCATATCCAAAACTATTGCGTATATTACTATCCTTTTCATCTTCATTTGAAGACGAATGTTGACGTTCTTCAGTGGTTGAATTATTTGCTATACCATTATCATTTGCTTTTACTATTTTACATCGTACAGTTTTACGAGCGAGACGCGACGATGACGATGTCGGACTTTTACCGAGATTACTATTACCATTCATACTGTTAAAACTTATTTTACGAGTTTTTTGAAATCGATGAACTTTAATTGGTGTATCATCCTCTTCTTCATCCCATTCCTCTTCGTCATTACTCGATGATTTATGAACACTTGGTAATCGTTCTTCCTCTTCACTTTCACTATCTTTATTTGAACATTTATTATTGGTTAAATGTTTAGCGATCTGAGTCTAACAACAAAAAAGAGAAGAATTTTAATTCAGGATATAAAGTAGTACATCAATATATACCTGAGATGTTTCAACTTCGTTTGACACAATTACAGTTTTTCTCGTATCACCATCCTCAGCTGGGGTTGTTACTGGTGATGGATCAATAGCGCTAAAAATCAACGGGTGATTGTCGTCATTATTCAATTTTATATCATGATGAAGACCGTTTATAGTAAATGAACGTGATGTTGTTGACTTTGTGAGATTTGAGATTGCATGATTTGTTTTTGTTAATTTGTCTAGTGTGTTTGAGTAAGATACTGGTGCACCGTGATGATGATGATGATGATATGTTTGTGAATGCTTATTATTTGTATTCGGATTAAATTTTGGTGATAATGATCGATGTGTCGGTAAAATATAATGACCATTTTTTTGAGAATGTTTCACACCTAAATCATTTGTTGATATTATTTTTGTATTAAACGACATTTGCCGATTATGAGAGGTATCATCAAAACTTGTAGGCGTTTTTATTAAAATTGGACGACTAAAACGAGATAATGGTGATTGTTGTTGGTTGATCATATCAATATGTTTAATATTTTTATTTGTTACTAATTTTTCTGACATTGGTTTCCTTGTGGTCATTGGTCGATTTGATGATGACATTGTGTTAGTTGGTTAGGTTCAAACTAAATTATTTCATAGTCTGCTTGCCTGTTTTCTCTTTGGTGATACCAAAATGATCAGAAATGAATGATAGTAGAATAAATTTTGACGTAAGAGAAGCAAAACTTATTTGTCGTTATAATAGAGGTACTAAATAGAGAAAACGAACAAATATGAGTGATGTGATTAACAAGATTAGCTTGAGAAATAACGAAAAAAAATAATGATCAAGTATTTGCAAGAAACACGCTCGATTGCATAATTCAGCCCTCAACTTATCTATCAGTGTGTCAATTTCATGAGTAAAAAATATAAGTAAAATATCTTACCTCTAATATACAAGTTTTGACAAATTGAGTAATATATCTATGTTCTAATTTAAAAAAATATATAATTTACGATGAAGTAAAAGTTTATTTATTTACAGACGTACACACACACGCACAAGTGTTAATGATAATTAATGTTGTCTTTATTATCTTTATAATCAGAAAATAATGATAATAATAATAGAAAGAAGAATAAACTGCTAATTGTTTTGGATAATTTAAATGTTCGAAATATCTGTTGTTGTTGATTAGATAATGTTAGATTGTAACAAGTGGACGTTTTTTGTTGATATTGCTGTTGTTTAAAAAAGGTTTCAAAATCAAAATAATAGAATATATTATCAGTGGCTATATAAATGAAAAACAATTGTTGTTCGAGTTTTGAATTTTTAGTAGTACTGTATAAAATAGAAAAGTTTTTATCCATTAGAATCCAAGATATGCTTTTGTTTTATTGTCGTCACTGTTGTTATCGTAGTGATAGATGAATGTTATTTTATAAATTCACATATGGCTATATATTCAGTGAGAAATTGAATATAAAAAATAAATAAATTAAAGCAAAAAAATGAATAAACACTCGATATCGAATATTGATGATAAACAACAATGATTGATAATCTATTGAATAAATTCTAGACAATAAAATATAAAGGATATTGGATCTGAAACTTTTCTAGTTTTTAGATCTCTATCTAAAACAAAAAGCATTTTGCATTAGAGTTTAATTTGTCCTTGACTACGTATATACATGCGCGTCGTCTGATAGTTTTTTTTTTCTTTTTTCTCTTTAAAGTTGAATGAACAAAAAAAGTGCAGATGAATGAATAAATGAGTAATTTTTTTCTTTTATGTTCTGTTTTTTTATTTTTGTTCTTTATTTATTTGTTAAAGCATGTGTGAGATGTGACGTTATTAGAAAAGAAAAAAAATTGTCCGAGAACAAAATTTATTCTTTTCATAAAACGTAAAAAGAATATCGCTTTGTCTGTATTTGATTTGAAAAAAAAACTGAATGTATTATTTTGAAAACTGAAGAGGACAGAGTGCAGTCTAAAGTGCTACACCTTTAATATTATTATCAAGCAAAAGAAATGAGTTTGCAGAGTTTTTTTCTCATTGAAAACTATTTTTTTGATTCGATTAACTTTTAAGTAATGTTTTTACTATCTTTTTACTATATCTCGAATTCTACTAGTAACATATACCAGAAAAAATGATAAAATGATTGATTTTTTACGTTTTCACATTGTCTGTTTCAATTATAATACATTTTTGATTTCTCTCTTTTTCTGTTATGTCTCCTTATTCTACGATGCAAAAAAAAGAAAAATGAGTCACAGTTAAAAGTCTAATGTCAGAATAGATTATTTCGGTCATAAAATAACAGCAGTTTTTTTCTGCGACAGAAAAAAAGAAACAATAATAATAATACTATAACTATTTCTAAAAGCAAACAAAACTAGATTAGATACAGGATTGATTCTCATGTATTTTTTTAACGAACATACAACAGATCTTTGCCCTTTTTATAATACTGTTTTATGAATTGCGCAGTCGTAAACCCAAACAAAAGATATTCTTTTACTATAATCGTCATTGTCGTCTTTCTCAGGTGCTTATGACATCAACAGTACACAGTAACTCCGGTCAGTACATCTATGGACTTTTTTCATCGATATTTTCGCCGCTGAAAAGTGCTCTGCTTTGTTCAACTTCATCTTTTACTTCAGTAGAAATTTGTTCGAACATCCAAAAAATCCTGGTTGTGTCACTGGTTCAAACAGGACGCAGGATATAACCTTAAAACATCTTTTTTGTTTTCTTGCTGGTCTCTTACCATAAGGTCTTTTTTTACCGCTTTCCACCAAAACAATCGGGATCTCGGAAAGTATATGAATGAAGTAATATGTACCAAAAATGCAAAGCACCGTTAGCTTCAAAATGTTCCAGTAAGCACATATCAGATCCGCTGTCAGTAAAAAGCAACTTGAATTGTTTTTTTGCTGTTTCTTTTTACAAATAATAAAAAGAACGAATACGTCCTAGAATGAGAATCTCAATAAATAAATACCTGTTGTCATCTGATAATCAGAGTTGCAAGATCTCTGCTGTAATATGAAAATTATCGTGAGTGTTGTTGCTGGTCATCAGCGGGTCTAATGAGATTTGTAATTAAAATGGAATGAACCACTTTGTTCTGAATCCTAAAGTGACACCGTCCATTTTGCGTTAAACCGCAAAGTGGACAAAGTGGTCTCAAATAAACTTTCAGCAAGCAGTGTTTGTAAAACTGTTTCCAGCTTACGTTCTAAAACGTAGATCTATCTTAGCTTTCTTAGCCTGAGTTAAATTTGTTCTGCACTTTTAAAAAAATAATGGTGCTTATTTCAAGCACTTTTTCGTTTTTAAAGAAAAGAAATTCATTGGCTGAAGGTTTCGAATCTAAACAACAAGAAGGAAATGGGATTTCATTTCCTATTTTCCTTTTTATGATCTAATAGAACTACCAAGATATTTACGATTCTACACTAAAGAGCACGTTGCTTTTGTGAATATCTCCATAATTCTAGTAGATTATAAAAAGGAAAACAAGAAATGAATCTCATTTCCTTCTTGTTGTTTAGATTCAAAAACTTCAGCCCTTGAACTTCTTTCTATTGAAAAACGAAAAGTGCTTGAAATCAGCACAGTTTTTTCGGTCTTCGTACTAATCAACATGGAATAAGCATTATGCGTCATTGATTATTTAGATCCCACTTTGGACACTTAAAAAGAATTCAAGAGAGCTTATTATCGGTATACAGTTTGTATTACGAAAGTTGATGATGGACTGAATGACTTACGGAATTCGCAAATCAACCCATTTTGTCTAGTTATTAGGCAAATAGAAAGCAGTTGTTGTTTCTATGTGAATTATAAGAAGAACAAGGCCAATAAGAGCCACGATGGTAGTACAGATGTATACAAAGTAGTACAGATGAGAGAAAGAAAACAAAGTGGTTTTTCATTTACAAAATTGTAAAAATGCAAATGGTAAACAGAGTGCAATTCGCTTTTACAAAGTAGAAGACCACTCTGCTCTCGCAGGGACCCCAATCATTAGAAATGCTGCTTCTCATTGCTTAGTATTTAAAGCAAAGACAGATTGTCTACTTTTATCGGTAATAGATTGTGCCGTGATAAAAAATTAGGCTCAAAGATTCCTTCGTACCTTAACCTTGTAATTTTTTCTGTGGTACATAACTTCTATTTACAGAACCAAAAATATCTAGAACAGCTACAAAGATGCGCTTGAATTTTGCTCTTGATAGTTTCAAATTCTTAACGTTCAGAATTTCATTCATTTGCTAAATTTTCTACCAATTAGAAGAGAAGAACGGTAAAAATAGTTTTATCCATCCATCGTTGTTCGAACAGCTGCCAATAGCAGATGACTTCAGCATGGGTTAAGAACTAGCTGCTAAGAGAAAATGTGGAGAGGATTCAACATGGCTGCCCACTACTTTTGATTACTTATTGTACTGCTTTGATTTGCCTTTTTCGATAAAGTCGGTTCCGAAACATACCCTGAAAATTATCCCAGAAATAGGTAAAATTCTACGCTCTACCCGAATCCAGAGGTTTTTTGCGGGGAAACTAAACGACTAAACTTTTGAGATAACTTCAATTCTAGCAAAAGTCCAAATCTTTTAAAATCTGAATTTCAACTTATAGACTAAACTGCCGTTTGGTTTCATTGAATCGAGTATGAAAAACTGCATGGTTTGGGCAATCTCTTGTTAATTTGGGTGGTTTTATCATCGATTTTTCTTTAAAAATATGAAATTTTATGACTATTTTGAAACATAATATTTCATCCTCAAAACTACTTTGCTAAGCATACAAAGTGCGTCATCTTGTTTTTTTTTATACTCTACTGACTGAAATGCAATCGAGCAGGGCTAGAAGAACAATCTGAGTTGCAGTGGGGCATTATCTATCGCCATTAGGATAATACGGTATTTCTTTTAGTCAATAAAAGTGCAACTTTTTGAAGAAAATAAAAATCTTTTTTTTTTGCGAGTTTTTCAAATTTCGACAGTGATTGGGAGGTAACTTCTAAGAACGTTTTTCCATGCACAAAGGCGAGAATCATTTCAACGTGCGTTTTTCGAGTCGTTAAAGTACGCAGACTTTTGGCAACTTTCTTTCGACAACTAGGAAACAGTGTGGAGGACGTCCACTTCTATTAGTGGGTTGCATACAAAGTTGTTCTGGGCAGAGGGGAGAACCGCATAGAGGACTTAATCCTGACCTCTTCGAGACAGTCCTGATGGCATGAGTCAATAAACTGGTTGTTTCTGTAACCACTCTCTCTGAAAACACCCGCTGACTTACACTCGTTCCATCCTCTCGATATCGTACCATGTATCTCTCTCAATCATACATGTTTCCACTCTATAAGATCTACTGTGTATTCTGACTCGTCACAGAGTACACAGGCTTTTTTATTATTCACGCTTCTGTGTATTTTTGTGCTCTACTAATTATTCCGGAAACAATTTTTATGTAATTAGAAAATACAAATTTATATTTGATGGATCATGAATGATGGAAGGTGACAACAAATTAGAAAATTCTAACAAAGTTTTTAATACGGACAAGAATTCTCTATTTTGAATCGTTGAA